TGTTCCTATTTTATGAATATATCTAGGGTAATTGTTTAACAAAGCACTTCAAACTTCATAGTGCATGCCTTGTTGACTAGTTTCCATCAGCAGCAGTAATTAGAATTGGTTTCCTAGGTAACCATTCTGTGCTCTACTGAGAAGAACCTTTTCTTGACAGGAGCATTCTGTTTTAAATTGTTTTGTTTCTTCTTCCACAATTGTGCAGTACACTTATTTGTCATTTCATTTAACATAGAATTATTATGCCCATGAGTCTTAAAAGCAAAAATATTAATTGACTTTTATATTCGTATGCTTTAATTTACTTACTTTGCTTTTAACCACCTGAATGAACTCAACTGAAATATGTTCTCGGGCATATGCCAACTTGCTTGGAATTTGTGTTCACAGTCTAGTTGGTGAACCTATGCATGTTCAAGTAATCACAGCTGGTCCTGATGAAAATCCAAAAGGTACACATTTAAAAACAAATTTCCAAGTCTACCAACAATGTCATGTATAACGCAACCCTGTTAAAATTTTCAGGGCTATTTGGAGAGTTTCACCTTCATTCACTTGGCATTAACCAGCCAAGTAATATTGATAGTCCAATAGAACAAGATAAGCAAACTGAAAATATAAGCTAAAAACAAGACCTGAGCCTTTCTTTAAAAAGTTGAAAGGATTGGCTGGCATATGGCTCAGTTGGAGAGAGCATGCTCAAAACCCTAGGTTCAATTCCCACAAGAAGAAAAGAAGAGACATAATAAATACTTTACCAAATAATACATGGCAGGAGCTAATTCATTGTCTATTAGGCAATAGTCAGACATTTACTGGAAAAAATTACAAAATCATATCAATTTATGACCAAAGCTATTATATCTTACCTACATGGAGTCAGATACATAAATAAATTAGTACTTAATCAATATTATTTCATGTAATTGTCACAAAACACCTAACGATGAATAAACCTTATATTCCCACTTTACAGATGTGGTATCTAAAGTTTAGAGGAATGAATATCCTTTAATCATCATGACTTCTAAGAGTTGGAAGCAGAATTGATCCTAGGTTTTCTTAGTTAAAATAATTATACTATTATTTTAGAAAAAGGCAACAGGTTGCTTTTATCCATTGTTTTGTCAATATAGATAACTTGATGTTAGGGGAATGAACCCCAAGATAAGTATTCAAATGGTTTTTTTTGTTTTTTTTTCCTTTCATGCAATTGTTTCTAACATATTTATAAGATGATTTCTTTGTTGCTTTGTATGTCCCTCCCCCACAGTATAACCCATGGTTCACTGTGTTTGATGTTGGTGTAATTTGTGGAGGGGAAGGGAAAAAACAAATCGTTCAAATAGGGATACAGGTGGAACCATTGCAACAATGTGATGTACAACTCCTTATGTCGAAAAACGAACTTTACATCTTTGGTGGGGGATGGGGGGGAGGACCGTCTGGGGAGAGGAGGGGAGTATGGGAAGGGATGGGAAGGGGAAACAAAGAGGAGGCAACAATGCTTGATAAGAAATGTACTTGTATGGTATTCTCACAATAAAAAAAAATGCATGAAAGTTTAGGCTAACTAATGTCAGCAAGTAACCAATGGCCCCATGTTACAACAACTTGTCTTCAAGATCGGGTTAAATACTTTTTTTTTAATTGGGAGAGGAGGGCTGGTACTGGGCTATTAACTCAGGGTTCCATGCTGTTGCTTATCTTTTCACTCAAGGCTGACACTAGCATTTTGCTAGTTAACTAGAGATAAAGAGTCTCTCAGATATTTCTTCCTAAACAAGCTTTTAAAAATGATCCTCAGATTTCAGCTAGACGGATAGGCATGTACCTGACGATAAGCCTCTTTAAATGAGTCACTTGAAGTACCTAGCTTTCACACAAGTTTTCTAAAACATGTGCAAAAAGAAACTTAAGTTTTTCCATACACTTTTATTGAACTGTCAAAGTTAAACACAGTTAAAAATTATTTTTCTCTCAGCCAATACATCTAAAATAAATAATACTGTTTTGCTGACACCAAATACTACTCATAGTTGAAATATAGTGCATTTTGTTTAGGTTGTCTTAATGAGGAATTTGATTTTCTTCCTATTCATGTATATTTAGGCTATATGACATGCTCATTTTTACAGTCCCCTTCATTGGTATACATTGGTATACATTTGATCTCCCCTAGTGTGACTAAGTTTGCTATAGATTAAGATTACTTCTGTTTTCTTTAATTATCCTTCAACATTTAAAATGGTTCTTATCAGTGTCAAAATGATATACAATATATACTATATCCTATATACAATCCCAAAGATGAAAGCAATGGAAAGACGAAGCAATGGAACATTATCAGTTTATAGTCTATTCATAAAGACTAATGGACATTTGAACCATTTGATTGACTCATCTTCCCGATATGAAAAAAAAACTGATTGACATAAAATAACTTATAGAATGGAAAGTCCATTAACAAGTATACAAGAATCTGACACTCCCATTTAATTAATACTCTTCAAAAATACATTAATTTCTTCAACATTAATAGAATGACATAATTTGGCAGTTTTCCTTAGCAGGTACAATCACAAGCATTTACTATTTCTGATTTGTGCAAATATAATGAACAAAGTTATCACATAAATTTTCACCCTTAAAAATATTGCATTAGCTGGGTGCCAGTGACTTACACCTATAATCCTAGATACTCAAAAGGCTGAGATCTGAGGATTGAGGTTCAAAGCCAGCCTGGGCAAGAAAACCTGTGAGAGACTCTTACTTCCAATTAACTACCAAAATAAAAAACCAGAAATGGAGCTGTGGCTTAATTAGTAAAGCACTAGCCTTGAGCTGAAAAGCTCAGAGACAGTACCAGGCTTTGAATTCAAGCCCCAGGACAAGCAGGAATTTTAAAAAGTATGTTAACCATCCAGTCTAAGTAAATCTCTATGAAAGAAGCTTCGAGAAGAGTCCTTGACTTGGGACCTAATCTATCAAGGAGATAAGATATGCAAACCTGTATCTTCAATTTAGGAAGACTTCTTGGTCCTAAATAGGAAAATGAAAATTTTTGCCTAAGTACTAATAGGAAGATGAAAGAATGATCCAGAAGTCACAGAGCTCTGTAGGTGTTTCCGTTTCTGCCACATTTTGCTCTCTTCCTCCATTACTCTTCCCTAAAATGTCTGCATAAAACACTGGGGTGCTAGAAGAAGCTATATTGTTCTGTTGATTTTTAAATATTAATATTACATTGAAAATTAATATCTATACCAATGCTCAAAAACTATTGAGTTCTTTTAGTAGTAGTATTAAACAAGATGTTAGAGCTGGGATTTTTTATGCATTTAATTTTTTGTAGCCCATTTTATAATTCTGTTCTCAGTAGAGGTATCACTCTGGGAGCCCATCCTCTTATAGGAATGTTCATAGAATCCTTATCCAGAAACCTGGCCTCATGACCACACACAACCCTACCCTTCCTCCTCCTCTTCCTCCTTCACCTCCTCCTCCTCCTCTGAACTTCTTGCCTATAAAGCAGGAACAATCATGGTGAATAATTCAATAAAGATGATGAGGAAAAGCACCTTAGCAGAGCATGCACATAGTGCACACTATATATAAACCAATCAGAAAATGTTAAATATTGAAATATATTCTAAAATGTTTTAAAATATATATATGTTGTTTTTAAATATGTTTTTATGATCACTAGTGCTACTCTAGTAAGGAAGTTAAACATATAAGACCAATTTACTCAAGCTGATAAACCACCTTTGAAAATTTAGATTATGTCTGTCCAAATTGATTACTAACCCCCACAACTCAAGTTTACTACATTCTCTATCATCCTGGATGAAGTGAGGAAGAATTTTCTTCAAAGAGGTCAAAATGTAAATGAGTCAGACAAATAAAATCAAGTAGATCTTCCAAAACTTGTGTATGTGAGTGTGCAAATTTGGATCATATATGATAATACATTTTAAATTATGAACCAATTCCAGTTATCTTAACTAAAATAATAAGAACAAATCTGAACACACTCTTCCTTCCATCATATAACCTGTGTCTACTAGAAATATGAATTGGTTTATTTTCTAGTATGGTTATTGCTTTTATTAAGAAATGGAAAAATGTTAAAGTATGTAGAATTTATTTCTAATATAAAATACATTTTTAATCTCAAAAGGCACTTTCCTTTTTAGTTGAAGTTAGGTAAAACATTATTATTGTATTTTGGGTTTTTTGTTGTCATTTTGGTTTGGTTTGTTTTTTCCCCCCTAGTTGGGTTATATTATAGTTAACACTATCAATTGAGCATGTCAATTAAAGCCCTCAAACTAGTTATTTTAACATTTCTCATACTGATCATTTTAGTGAATGATTGTGTTTGCAAGGTGAGTATATATAGTATAGCCAAAATGATCTTTAAAACATGGACTACCTAGAAAAGTAGTGTTTCTTTAGAAAAAGTATGATATATCATTGCCCTGTATTTCAAAAGATTGTTATCATTCCAGATTTTTAGAATTTATCTTGTTTGCACTGCTCCATTTAATCACAAATATACATTTTGAGGAACTTTATGTTTTAAATAAAGATATTTCTGCAAAGGAGCATACAGATTTACTTGAATAGTATTTTTTAGTGAAACAATGATGGAAACCAAAATAAATTCCCTCTTGTCTGTTTGAACATGAACTTGGTACAAAGACTTGAGTTTCTGTAAAACAGTTTTAAGAAATAAAGTTTCATTTTCAATCCAGTAATTATTTTGTTAGCTGCATGTTCCTTTTGTGTAGTCTTTAGAATGCCAACTCCTTTCATTAATCCATCTCTAAATATATGTTTGATTTTTATATACAAGGAAAAAGTGCATTACACTTCATGAAGAGAAGGCAGTGAAACTGAAATTCTAGTCCCCAGTACTACGTGGAGACTTTTCCTCTTTGTGACCTGGTTTTGATTCCTCACTGTTCCCGTTTGTCATCTTCTCTTTTCAGAGGAGGTATCTGCAAGGATAGTTCAAGTAGTCACTGCTGAAGCTGTGGCAGTCCTGAAAGGCGAACAAGAGAAAGAAGCCCAGCACAAAGACCAGCCCACAGCTCTGCCATTAGGTAAATGAGAAGAGCCTCAGATCCAGGGGCCGCTCTGCTCCCCACAGGTCAATGTTCACGTTCAAAGAGAGCTTCCATCTTTATACATCATCTTTACATGTCACATTCACTCATCACCTACAATGGGCAACAAAGGGACCTATTTCCTCTTCCTTGGCAGGTTTATTGGTAGTACCTTGGTGGTTTTCAGAATGATAAGCCTACAGTCAGATATTCCTAACAGGTCTTTAACTTAATATTGTAGACCTTTACAAGATTGCTTGACAGTCCTGCCCTCCAGCTAGAAGGAAAATGAACCAAAATTTCAATAAGAAATGATTGTTTCCCTTTATGGGGTTGGGTAAATGACTGTCTATACTGTAGTCTTCTTTCCAGTCTTTCTGAAGTGTATACGCAAAAGCTATAGATTCTTGCTAGATTCTTGGCCTGTCTGTGGATACAGAGATAGCCTGTCTCTCTCCCTTGGTCATAAATGAAATTCCCTCCAGTACCAGATAGCCAAGGAGAACACTCATCCAAAGGTTCACTGCCCTGTCAGAAAGTTAAGTTGAGGGCTGGGAAGGTGGCTCCATGGAAGAGTACTTGCCTTGCATGCATGAGGCCCTGGGTTTGATTCCTCAGCACCACATAAGCAGAAAAAGCCGGAAGTAGTGCTGTAGCTCAAGTGGTAGAGCACAGACCTAGAGCTGAAGAGCTGAGGGACAGCGCACCAGCCCAGAGTTCAGACCCACAACCAATAAAAAAAGAAAAAAGAAAGTTAGATTGATCAACTGATCAAGTGATAGATAGAAATACATGTATATACATGCAGAGATATACAAGAGCATCTTTTGTTAATCAGTTAATTGGGTGTATATACCCAATCTACAGAAAGTACTCTTTGAAGTCCTAAAAACTGTACACATCCATTTCCTGTCTTACAATCTTATTTATCCTTAATATTTGATTTCCTGCTTAGTGTTCCTTCAGGTGTCTATTAAAAAGTGAATAATAAAGATCTTTTACTTCCCCCCAAAATAATTTTCAGTATACAAATTATTTTTGTTCTGTTTTTTGGGGGGGAGTTATATTTATTTTTTGTGCTAGTACTGGCGTTTAAACTCAGGCTCTTAGCTTTTTGGCTCAGGACTGGCGCTCTATCACTTGAACCATTACTCTACTTCCAGCATTTTGCCAGTTAATTAGAGATAAGTGTCTCACAGATGTTCCTGCCTGTGCTGACTGAACCATAATCCTCAGATCTCAGCCTCCTGAGTAACTAAGAGTACAGGCATGCACTAAAGGCTCCTCAACTAGTATAATATTTTCTTAATCTGAGTGTTTTGAATATCAACAATTATTTTTCTCTTAAACAGAGAAGAAAAGTTATCTAACATAAACATAACCTTCAGTCTGTTGTTTACTTCTATTCTTTGACAGAAAATTCAGTTTTTAAAATTTCAGATCTTTTCAGATATGTTTTTATTATCTTTAATAAGTCATTGTACAAAGGGGTTACCATTCAACTAAGTAATTTATCAATATAGTGTATCTTGATGAATGTCACACCTTTTATTACTCTCTCCATCGCTCCCAACTCCACCCCTTCCCTCAATTTTCTTAATTTTGTAGGATATGTCTACATTCTCCCTTCTTCCTATCTTTGTTCATCTGCTTTCCCCCCCCCCCCACACACACACATACTTGACACTGCCTTCCTTTTTTGATTTCCTGTTTCCTAGAATTTATGTTGGTGGTCTGTGAATTAGCCTTCCTAAGGCATTATACCATTTGACTTCTCCCCTGAATCTACCATATTTCAGTTAAACATTTTTGTATACTTCTATAACACTCCAGAGTGTTTACTTATATGTGTATAAATTAATGTAAGAAAAGATGCATCCTTTGTACCTCTGGACCGCACCTACTTCACGTAATTTTTTCCAGGTCCTTTCATTTCTTTTGAAATGATGTAATATCGTTCTTTCTAATGGATGAGTAAAATTCTGTGGTATATATATATATATATATATATATATATATATATATATATCACATTTTCTTGATCCACTCGTTCACTAAGGGGCATCCGGGCTGATTCCATACCTAAGCTATGGTGAATAGTGCTGCAGTGAACATGGATATGCAGGTGGCTTTATGGTATCCTAGTTTGTAATCTTTTGGATAAAGACCCAAGAGTGGAATTGCTGAATCACAAGGTAGTTAGGTCATAAAGGCCCCACAGGGTCTAGGAACTAAAAGCATCATCTATCATCCAAAGCTGCCTCCAGTCACTGCTTAATGCCACTGAAATTCATATAATCTTTAGAAGAGATTTAGACATGACCTAAAGATATACTTCCTTTTGAAATTCCTTCCTTCATAGAGGAGTCAAAAGGAAGGCACCTGAGGAGAAAACCTCCGTAAACTGTGAGTGTTGCATCTTTTAGAACCTTCCTGAAAGACCAGAAGATAATATCACCCAGTGCATCAATCTGTCCCTGGTCTGTGCCTGGCTAAACAGCTTCATTTTTCTTTTTTCTTTCTTTCTTTCTTTTTTTTTTATTGTGAGAATACCATACAGAGGAGTTACCATTACATGGGCAAGATAGCTTATCAAGCATTGTTGTTGCCTCCTTGTTGTTTCCCCTTCCCATCCCTTCCCCCCCTCCCCTCCCCCCAGCCGATCCTCCCCTCCACCCTCCACCAAAGTTGTTAAGTTTGTTTTTCGACATAACGACTTGTACATCTCATTGTTGCAGTGAGTCCACCATATCCCTAGTTAAACAATTTGTTTTTTTTTCCCTTCCCCTCCACAAATTATACCAACATCAAATACAGTGAAAGTATGGGTTATACTGTGGGGGAGGGACATACAAAGCAACATAGATATCATCTTACAAATATGATAGAAACATGGGCTGGGATGTAGCTCAGTGGCAAAGCGCTTGCCTAGCAAGTGCAACGTCCTGGGTTCGATCCCCAGTACCAAAAAAAAAAAGAAAAAGACAAATATGATAGAAACAATTGCATGAAAGGAAAAATAAAAAACAAAAAAAATCTGAATACTTATCTTGGGGTTCATTCCCTTAACATCAACTTATCTGATCTTTTCTGCTTGACTCAGACATACACTAGTTATTGCAAATAAGGGAAACCATTTTTCTAAGAATACATAGAGATGAATAGCAACATTAAATTAGGTGATGGAAAATATTATTCTAAAAAATGTGGTAGCATTTTTATATATAGCTAGTATAACTGGCATATTTTTAATGTTTCCAGATCAAGTAGTTGGGCAACTTACCATCCAATATCTTCTTTTGGTCTAACTTTATCTAAACTATGTACATGTTTTTCCTGGTATATGAAGGCCAAATGAAATACATTATGAATGGAACAACTAGACTAAAATAAGTGAGATTCATGATACAGTTTTACCATTTATGTCTAATCCATTTTTGTGGGGAAGACAAAATGTTTTTCTTGAAGAATATTGAATACTTACCTTACTCTAAGTTGTCAAAAATGTGAATCAGGACAAGGCCTAATGATAAGTCACATGTAGATTACAATTTAATTATTTACTGAATTTTACAGAGGGTTTTTTGAATGGCAGAATTACTTGCAAATACTATTAATTGTCATATCTGTTTTCTCCTTTTTCTAAATCCTCAGCAGCTGAAGAGACAGCTAATCTGCCCCCTTCTCCACCCCCATCACCAGCCTCAGAACAGACCATTCCAGTGGAGGAAGGTAAGGCCTGACTTTGCAGGGTTTATCTTCTCAGAAGCGGTAAGCAATAAACATTGACCCACAAGCCATAGACTACAGCACTGGTCAATATGGGATCCAGCATTGGAGTTTTGTTTCATGTAGTCAAGAAGAAACAAAGTGCTCAAATAAATATGTAGTTCTTTATCTATATAAAATCTGAAGTAGAAGAATATGGAAATATACTGGATAAAGAAAAGGATACCTTTGTGTTTAAATTGCTAGACAAAGTATAGAGAATCAATATCTAATAGGTACTGTTTGGAGAAAGAAAATACCCATTTTGTGACTAAACAAAAAAAAATGTAATCCATTATAGCAAGAATCATACTTACCTATGAGATCACTAGAAATATCCCAAATTATCTGTTTTGCTTCTGTTTTCCCCAGGGCCTGGGCAATGACATACTCTCCAGAAATATTAGTAAATCAAAAGGTTAATAAATAAACCTGATAGTGAGAGCAATGAACTAAAAGCTGAGACCATGGTTGTTGTTTTTTTCTTGTAGAGGTCTGTTACTGCCCATGAATACATTCATGCACTAGCATGCCTCGGAATGCCATCTCAGCTCTCCAGTTCTCATTGATAAAACAGAGGCATGCCTTTGAAGACCATCCATTCAGAATCTCAGATCAAAGACACTAAATTATGTTAACACAGCAGAGGAAGGAGCATTGGCTCTCCTTTTCCTGTGACTCTTTTAATGATGCACAAAAGCTGACTGATCTAAGTGAGCAAAATAATAATGGTTTGTTTTCAATTTCCATATACTAAAATCAGAATTTTAAAACTATTCCATTTTATTCTTTTTCTTTTCTTTTTTGGGGGGGGAGGGGGGAGGGTCCTGTCGTGAGGCCTGAACTCTGGGCCTGGGCGCTGTCCCTCAGCTCTTCAGCTCAAGGCTAGTGCTCTACCACTTGAACCACAACACCACTTCTGGCTTTTTTCTTTTTGCTTATGTGGTGCTGAGGAATCGAACCCAGGGCCTCGGGCATGCAAGGCAAGCACTCTACCACTAAGCCACCTTCCCAGCCCCTTTATTTTTTTTCTTATTTACTTATTTTTCCTTTTTCTGTCATTTTAGAATCCTTTCATTGTGACAACATTGAGTAACATTTGTCATGAAAGAGTTATTCTTTTACAATTTGTAACTAGGTTAATTTAAAACGTTGTTTGATTTCCTTAATATCAAACTCTAAATTACTGAACTGCATAGGGCCAAGTCCAAATACTTTTATTTTTGTCACAGTTTTGTTCACCCAAAAATTTTTAACATGGCTATTCTCTCTTTAAACAATGTGCTTCTTTTCCTCCAAATTTAATACCTGAGGTAGTGTTAAACACAATTATTCTAAAGAAGGAAAAGAGGTTTCAGGAATATAATTAATGTGTATTAGCAACTGATGATTAATATCTTAAATAGGATTTAATTTTTTTAACTTATAGATTTGAAAACTTTTTTTCTCAGCCTGGTACCTAATTTCTTGAACCCCTACAACATTCTAGAAGTTCTTCAAATTTTGGGTATATATGCTCATGACAACATAGAAACAATCCCTGTGTTTAAGGAACACATTATTTAATGGAAGACAGAAACCCAGTATATAAGCTTACAGATAATTAAAGAGTGGATTAGCACCAGGAAGGGAAATGAACTAGGGGCCTTCAGATAGAGGAGAGAAGGGAATCTTGCCTTCGTGGAAGGGGAGGTAATGGTTAGCCTAGAACCATGAGGAAGTGTTGGTCATGCAAAGATGGAAGAAAAGGGTACTTCAGGAAGTGAAAGAAGCAGGATATACAAAGGGCACGCAGATGGGCAGTAGATATCATGCTCTAAAATAAGGGTCCATGCCTAATGGGTAGTAAGGAAGGGGTAGAAGAGTGAAGGAAAGACAGTGAGCATCAGCCAGCTGGGGTTTTACCACAAAGGAAATACTAGATTTTACTCCAAATGTACTTGGAAGAGCTACTGGAGAGTTGTACTTCTCTTAGGTCACTGACAGTGTTTCTAGGCTCCTACTTAAATCCATCCAATGTCTGAGAATCCTCTTAGCCCAAGAAGGCCTGTGATGTTGACAGTTAACCTTCTTTCCCCCCCCCAACCCCGCCCCCTCTTTATACTGGATTAGAGCTCAGATTCTGGCCACTGTCTCTAAGCTTTTTGCTCATGGCTGGTGCTCTACCACTTGAATCACAGCTTCACTTCTGCCTTGTTAGTAACTTTAATTGGAGATAATTGTCTCACAGACTTTACTGCCGGGCTGGGCAGGCTTTGAACTGCAATCCTCAGATCTCAGCCTCCTAAGAACCATCGGCACTCAGCCTTGTTTTTCATTTTTGGCTTAAATGTAGTGGTTGTGTTTGGACTGTGCTGTTAGAATTAGGAAGTCTGTGCAGATGCAGTGAAATTCTCTGAAAACAGACCAGGGAATCCTTCTGCCCAATTAGGTTTGCTCTGGAATTCTGGGGTGGGGAGGGGAAGAAGAGGGGGAGGGGGGGAAGGCTCCTGTGTCCTAGGCACAGTGACATAGTTGCAAATCTGAAAGTATATTTGTTCCATATCATGTGAGGGCAGCATAAGCAGGCAAAAAACTGAGGATTTCTTAGTCAAAAGCTTGCTGAAAGGAGAAGGGCTTAGCAGCCTTAGTGATGCATTCCAACAACAAAACTGTCTGTCATGAAATCAATTCAACTTTTCATAATAAAAGTCTCTGATCCAACTTTCTGTCCAATGAAGGGAAAGAGTAGAAGAACTTGAAAGCTGAAGACACAGAGGCCAACCTGTATGTTAGTAAAACCTCACACAGGCCCTTGCACATTCAGTCCTTCCAGCAGCCCTCAGATTCACTGACACTTTGGCTTTTCCCCTAAAGAGATCATTATTTTTGTCTGGATTCAAAATCAAAATTGAAATTGAAATCTTACAGCCCACAGTTCCACAACCTCCCTCCATCTGTCTATTGTTGAGTGGAAGTAACTTGTCTTCAAAGTGAAGCACTTTGTGTGTGTGTATGACAGGCTACTACACTAAAATCCTTTTTCACTTTATCATTTGTGTGTCATTAGTAGTTACCCCACCCCTACTGAGTGTGGTGTGATGAGCAACTCTGTAACAAATAAGAATCTAATGCTTTCTGTCAATATCATTGGGACCAAGTGCACTGTTTACACTTAGTTATCTCCTGAGCACAACTTCCCTGGCTTGTCTCTGAAGCTTACATCATAGATGGGCTGTACTCCCACACGCTGACAGGTATTTGGGGAATGTGCAACACACAGAACCAAGAGAAGTCCAGACTTGGCCATGCCACACACTCTTTTTGAAGTTACCTTGGCTTAGAGCTGGATACAGAAGCTACCTTTCCACTGGAGTTTTTACAGTTTCTGATGATGTTTTTTGTTATCTTCTGCTTAGAGTGAACATTTACAGAATAGAAAATAGTGTTTTAGATCTGAAGCAAGACTCTGAGCTATTTTTACATTTTGGCACTTTAAAAACAACAACAACAAATGGTAAGAAAGAGGACAAAAAAGTTTTCAAAAGTGAGTGTTGTCTCTAACTGCAAGCTCTTACCTTTCAATGCTTTCATTTTACACCACAATTTTCTTTTTTTTCAGGTTAGGGGTAGGTTTATTCACAATTTTTCTTTATTTCACAGAAAATAGATGCTGAAAAACAGGGAGACAAGCTAGGCACAGGTGCACATGCCTGCAATTCTAGTTTCTCAGGAGGCTGAGATCTGACAATCACAGTTTGAAGCCAATCCAAGCAGAAAAGTTTGTGAGACTTATCTCCAATTAACTGCACTCTTAAAAATAAATCCAGAAGTACAGCTATGGCTCTAGTGGTAAAGAGTTAGCCTTGAGCAAAACAGCTCAAGAGCCTAAGCCCTAAGTTAAACCAAAAGAAAAAAAGAGAGAAAGGAAGAAGGAAAAGAGAGGGAAAAAGGAAGGAAGGAAGGAAGGAAGGAAGGAAAGGAGGGAGGGAGGGAGGGAGGAAAGGAGGAGAGAAGAGAAACAAAAAAGATAAGATTTTACTTTCACCTATGATTGTCCATGAAATAAGTTGAACATAATAGAAGTGTGACTGGAGGAAATATAAATGAAAAGACTATGTGACAAACTGGGACTAATGCAGTCAGTGTTGTAGGCCTCAGCTGAAAAACTCATGCTGAGTTAAACTGATAATATCAAACACTATTTTAGGCTCTACTATCCCATGATATAGTAAGTATCAGGGCTGAAAAAGTTCTGAGCATCTATCCAGTAGCAACTTCCATGGGACAATCAGTAAATGATATGCTCAAAAGATTAAACATATTCTCTCAAGAGTGTTATTTTAGCATCCTTGTGATTTCAGACTTATTTTCAGTTGTCAGCAGTTGGCTGCTGAAAATAAGTTACTTTCCTAAAAATATAATGCATTTGCAAATTAATGCTATAATTCTGCCTGCTTAAATTCTGATAGAAATAAAAAGAAAAGTTTTACAGATAGATGCTAGAATTTGGTTTATATTGTTTGATGAGAACTTTATTTTTAAATTACCTCCAGATGTAAGTAAGTAGTAATTAGGAAATTTAATATTCTACCACACTGGCCTGAGATGTGGCATCTACAGCCCACTAGAGGCAAACAGTGTTAATTGTCAGGATCCTTGAAATTCATTGCAGTGTACAAGAGTCCAGATCATAATAATAAAGCTGGTCTACAATTGTGAATTTAAGGAAATACATTTAATTAATGCACATTTTCAAGCCAAGACACAGTTAAAAGATAGAAATGGGAGCGGTTGTATTATTATTTCAGTAAAACTAATCTGCAATAGAAAATCTGAAACATAAAAACAGTGAGAACCAGTGGTACAAATAAAGCTGCTCAGAATGAAGTCTTGACGAATCTGAAGCCAACTCTAGACATTGTCAGCTAATGGCAGTAATCCTAACTGCTTCCTCCATATCAAGGCAGGAAAAAGAAACAATG